AACAACAAGACAGCTTGCCGGGTGCATATGCGTTGGCTCCACCGGGTGTTGTTGTTGCTGCTCCACTGGGTGTCAACAACAACGGCTCGAATGGTGTAAATCTATTGCCACAAAGTGAGCACCACCCTGGAGTACTGTCATTGGATAATGGTCCGACAATGGTGAGCAGTAGCTCCTCCATATTTGACGGGGGCATTCCAGTAGCGAATCTTGTCAGCAATGATCATGATAACACCATTCCTGAGGCCGAACCAGAAGACATTGAAGCACAGATGGGGCGCAGAAAGCAGAGAGAAAGAATGATGCTGAGGATGGGAGCTTTATCTCTTGCTTTCTTTCTGATGGCTCTAGGACTTGTTCTGGTAATGGTACTATTCATGGTTTCAAAAGGTCAAAAGACTGACATTGAAAGGCCTGTCTCTACAGTGTCCCCATCGGCTCCTCCGTCAATGCCCCCTTCTCAGCGGCGACAGAGTGATAGTGCTCTTCAGTTATTCGCTAACTACACCAAGGTGATGCTGGACGACTTGGAGTCAGCCCAGTACCATGCCTACCAATGGCTGCTTGATGACATTGAAATGCATGACAACAGGCTTGCAGATGAGCGAATTCTTCAGCGTTTTGCCCTTGCCACATTGTACATGTCAACAAATGGCGACAGCTGGTTCAGAAATGAGAACTGGTTAAACCATTCAGTCCATGAATGCTTCTGGTATTCAAATGACCAGTTTCTGGACTTCGAGGACGAGGATTATGAGTATGTGCATGTCATTCACACCAATCCTTGTGAGATGGCACCCACAAACAACACAGATGTGTCAGTTCTTCCGGGAGAGACAGAAGACATGTATGTTCATCTCTGGCTTGCCAACAAGAAGCTAGAAGGCACCATTCCTCCTGAGGTATTCTGGTTGACACACCTCAGGAGTATTTCCTTCTACAACAATGATGGTCTTGGGGGCTCCATACCTTCGTTGATTAGGCAACTAACCAACCTGGAAGCTATCAACATGGGGGGCACAGCAATCTCAGGTGTTCTGCCCAGCGAGCTAGGCCTCTTGTCAGATACAATGCACAGCATTGCCATCATCAATGCTCAATTAGAAGGAAGGCTTCCATCAGAGCTTGGTCTCTTGCACAGGATGCATGATCTCTTGTTGGATCAAAACGGACTCACAGGAGTTGTGCCTGAAGTGTTAGGCAATGCATTTAGCTTGGAATGGATCTATTTGTCTCAAAACTCATTCACAGGGACCCTCCCAGTCTCCATGGTGCAATTACCTTTGCTGCAAGATTTGTACCTTCATCAGAATCAATTTTCAGGAGCCATGCCAACTGAGATTGGCTTGCTAAGTGATATCGACCATTTGGTTGTCTACAGAAACAGATTCACTGGAACCATTCCAACTCAGGTTGCTCAAATGTCATCTGCTAGCAATCTTGACTTTGATGACTGCTACTTTACTGGGACTCTTCCATCGGAGCTTGGTCTTCTCACCAAGATGACACAATTCTGGGCTGCTGGCAACAGTCTAACTGGAACCATCAGAAGTGAAATTGCACAGAACCTCAATCTTGAATATTTCGTTGTATCTGAGAACCATTTTTCCGGAACAATCCCTACTGAGTTTGGCCAGATTGTCAACTTAGACTCATTGAGTTTGTCAAACAACAACTTGTCTGGGTCACTTCCACATGGGCTTAGCTCCAACATCGACTGGTTGGAAGTCTCCAACAACACTCTATTGACTGGCCCTCTCCCTACAAGCCTTACAAATTTGAATTGGGTATGGCTGACTGGCACTCAGATCTCTGGAGTATTGCCAGACTATGTTTGTGATATTGAAACACTGGAGTTTGACTGCAGCTCAATTCTCTGTGGGTGTGGCTGCATTTGCAGCAACAACACGAACAGCACAGCAGCTAACATTCTTGCCAGAAACAATGATACTCTGGTTTAAGCAGCTGGAGTGGTTGCTCAATATTAAAACTTCATATATATGTAAGAAAACACACTTCTAGATTTCCCTTAGTCAATCCGCTACAGGATAATGGTGCCTTATCCACGAAGGCTTCATAGGAATGGTGATTCGAACAATAATGATCAATGTCCAACTATTCTGCTGTCGGTCAGCCAAGCTTGGAACTCACTCCTGAGGTCAAAAAGAACTCAATGGAGGAGAGAAGTCTGTGCTGCGCCTTCAACAATAGACTTGAAATACTTTTAGTAGGGATACCTACCAGCGACCTCGACCACGACTCCCTCGATCGAAGGATGAGTTTATTTGCTTGTCCGCCAGTGGCTGATGGCTGAAGTTATCAGCCATCCACTAATAGTGCACCGCTGTGAGTGCTCCATTACATGCCATACTACTTTTTTGCATCATGGTGTTGCCACCGTGTGGGTGTAAAGCCACCAACTTGACTTCTAGATGAAACCGATAGGACGGGCATGTCCAATCGACAAAGTGGTTATAGGGAGTTATCGTATTTTGAATGTTACCATGGGCGGGACAAAGTGGCCTCCTATACCGTTGTAGGTGGGTTGTTTGTTCTCGCCGATTCGTCAAAACGTTTCGGGGTAACTGGTCTACATGGATGCTTCATTTCTGGACTAGCTAGCTGGTCGAAACTGAGAAGGATTGAATGGTTGACAAAGTCAACTCGTCTCCGCCTGAAACTACAGAGATTTCGCCTTCGCCTGCTGCAATATCCAAGCTCAGATTGATTCCATCCTCTCCCTGTCCGAGTGACAATGATGTCTTCACGTCAGCGGCTAGCTGTTGCCTTCCCCAGCGGGGAACGGAGCAACGAGCAACCATGGCCTCAACAGTATCGCGTCACCCAAAGGCGCCTCGCCTCGTCCGACCTGGATGCAAAGCACAGCGTGTATGCCCGAATCGTCGTCCAGCTTGCTTGGAAGTCCACAAAAATTGGAAGTCCACATTACCGTACTTGGAAGACATCATTCGATTCATTCGAGGAGAGGCGGAACACGTCAACATCGCGTTGGGCAGTTTCCATTGCCTGGCTACTGCTTGTAATGAACGTACCGTAGCACCGGCGGTTCATCAAGAGGGAAAGAAGAATCGAATCATCGATTCTTTTCAGTTGCCGTTTCCTGGTCCTACCGTGCTGGCTGGTTCTTGTTCAAAAAGCAATGATTGAGCTTTGAGCGTCGACACGCTGTGTCTGTTCGCGCCGAGAATAGAAGCTGAATGAGTACATGTACTCTGAGTAGCTAGTTTGAAGTTTTTCAAAAGGGCGACCAGCACACATCTCTCTGCAGCATACTGAGTACTGAGTAAAGCTTTAGAAGCAATTCCCCGAACCTTGCAAACAATTCGATCCTTGTCTCTCGAGAGTCTCGATCGCTTGGAGGAAAGAGGATAGGACGGAGAAGGCATGCTTCGATTGCCGACCAAGAAACCAAAAACGTCGGCATCCACTTGAGGGTACAGAATGGTGCGGCGAAGCATCGAAGCGACCCAAACACACTCGAAAATCAATGGATAAAGCAAATAGTAGATGCCGTCAGCGCAGAATCTGATGATGTGCGATCCAAAACCACCATCTTCTTCGTGGTGGCTGGAGAAGCTGCTCGTCGCCCTTCGACCACCATCTGCACCACCATCAGATAGATGCTCTACAGGAAAAGCTACCGATTGCCTTCGATTGCCAAAAAGCAAAAGATGAAACAAAGGAAAACAGAAGGAAATGGAGCGTGCATCAGTTCTCTGGGGAGTAAGCATTTACAAACGGTTCGGTTCTTAGTTTTAGCCATAGTCTACTGTAATGTACATGCTAAAAGTCATGGCGAAACAGCAACTGTTCCCAGGGAACAAACAATAAGGCTGTTTGTCACAATACAGACAAAGAGGAAAAGGGGATAGTCAATCCCACATCCATTCAGGAGTGAGGAAGTTGATCCAACCTTTCCGACCGACCTAGCTAGACTTGGTTGATGGGAGTGAGGATTTGAGGCTGTCAAAACTTGTTGCTGCTCGAATCACAACATCAACCTGAGCAAAAGCTTTTAACGTGGACCAAAACGATATGAAGCATTGCAAAGGAGTGGTGTCCGAAGCGGAAGGAGAGGTACTTGATCCAGCCTTTCCAACCGACCTCGACTGGGTTGACGGGAGCGAGGATTTGAGGCTGTCAAAACTTGTTGCTGCTCGTCTGGGCGAGACTGAAGAATCACAGCAGAACGAGCACCATATGATAACACCTTTTTTGACCCCTACCAAAAGGGCAGACATGTACGCCTGAACCAACGGACTGCTCAAAGACTCTTGACAAGCCAGCAAAACAAGCGCATGATCAGTCGAAATCAAGTGATCCATCCATAATGCCAACAAAAGAGTTGCTCATGGAGGATAGAATTGACGCCAGCAATCATTCGGGTATAGAAAACAGCTTTGGCACAAATAATGGAATGCAAGAAAATTCCAGTGAACAACAAGACAGCTTGCCGGGAGCGTATGCGTTGGCTCCACCACGTGCGAACAGCCACGACTTGACTGGTGTAGGTCGATTGCCACAGAGTGAGCATCAATCTGGTGTATCGTCATTGGATAATGATCCCACAATGGGGAGCAGTCACAACTCCAGTTTTGATGGCGGCATTCCAGTAGCGAATATTGTCAGCAACGATCGTGACAACACCATTCCCAAGGCCGCACCAGAAGACCTCGAAGCACAGATGGGACACAGAAAGCAGAGAGAAAGAAAGTTTATGAGGATGGGAGCTCTGTCTCTTGTTTTCTTTATGATGGTTCTAGGACTTGTTCTCCTAATCGTACTATTCATGCTATCAAGAGGTCAAAAGACTGGCATTGCAGGTCCTGTCCCTACAGTGTCCCCATCAGCTACACCTTCAATGCCCCCTTCTCATTGGCGACAGGGTGATATTGCTCTTCAGTTATTTCCTAACTACACAAAGGTGATGCTGGATGAGTTGGAGTCGGCCCAGTATCGCGCCTACCAATGGCTGCTTGATGACATTGAAATGCATGACTTCATGCTTGCAGATGAGCGAATTCTTCAGCGTTTTGCCCTTGCCACATTCTACATGGCAACAAATGGTGACAGCTGGTTAAGAAATGAGAACTGGTTAAACCATTCAGTCCATAAATGCTTCTGGCATTCAAATGACCACTTTCTGGAATACGATGACAATTATGAGTATGTGCAAGTCATTCACACCAATCCTTGTGAGATGGCACCCACAAACAACACAGATGTGTCAGTTCTTCCAGACGAGACAGAAGACATGTATGTTCATCTCTGGCTTGCCAACAAGAAGCTAGAAGGCACAATTCCTCCTCAGGTATTCTGGTTGACACACCTCAGGAGTATTTCCTTCTACAACAATGATGGTCTTGGGGGCTCCATTCCTTCCTTGATTGGGCAACTAACCAACCTGAAAGCTATCAACATGGGGGGCACAGCAATCTCAGGTGTTTTGCCCAGTGAGCTAGGCCTCTTGTCAGATACAATGAACAGTATTGCAATGGTAAATGCTCAATTGGAAGGAAAGCTCCCATCAGAGCTTGGTCTCTTGCACAGGATGCATGATCTCATCGTAGATCAAAATTGGTTCACAGGAGTTGTGCCAGAAGAGTTAGGCAATGCATCTAGCTTGCAATGGATCATTTTGTTTGATAACTCATTCACAGGGACCTTCCCTGTCTTCATGGTGCATCTACCTTTGCTGCAAGAGTTGTATCTTGAGGGGAATCAATTTTCCGGAACCATGCCAACTGAAATTGGCTTGTTAAGTGAGATCAAGAAGTTTTATGTCTACGGAAACAGATTCACTGGCACCATTCCAACTCAGGTGGCTCAAATGTCGTCTGCTAGCGATCTTGACTTTGATGACTGCTACTTTACTGGGAATCTTCCATCGGAGCTTGGTCTTCTCACGAAGATGACAAACTTCTGGGCTGCTCAAAACTGTCTAACTGGAACCATCAGCAGTGAAATTGCACAGAACTTCAATCTTTCATACTTCAATGTATTTGAGAACCATCTTCTGGAACAATCCCTACTGAGTTTGGTCAGATTGTCAACTTAGAGTCATTGACTTTATCAAACAACAACTTGTCCGGGTCACTTCCACAAGGGCTTAGCTCCAACATCGACTGGTTGGAAGTCTACAACAACACTCTATTGACTGGCCCTCTCCCTACAAGGCTTATAAATTTGAATTGGGTATGGCTGACCGGCACTCAGATCTCTGGAGTATTGCCAGACTACGTTTGTGATATTGAAACACTGGCGTTTGACTGCAGCTCAATTCTCTGTGGTTGTGACTGCACTTGCAGCAACAATACGAACAGCACAGCAGCTAACATTCTTGCCAGAAAGAATGAAACTGTTGGCTAACCAGCTGGCATGGTTGCTCCAAATTAAAATACATAATACCCGCTTTCGCTTTCACTGTGTTGAACTTGGAGTTAAGCACTAGTTTTCAAGGACACCATCGTGCCACTTTCAGAACCGAAACAAAACTATAACTGTTGTCTAGCTAGCTAGCATCCTCTCTGCTTACAAGAAGTTCAAGGAAGCCTTTAGTCTAGCTGGCTAGCTAGTAGTTGGACTCCAGCAATCAGGGAGAATAGAAGTGTAACCACCAGGTAGAAGTAGACTGTGCTGATGCAGCTGGGTATCCACCGGTGCCGCCTGCATGGTGCTCTTTGCTTAGCTAGCTAGCTGTACATGTACAGTAGCTGCCCTGACTTGCCCTCGTACTGCAAGCAAAACCAAAACGCGGGAACTGCTGAAGACAGCTATGGTAGTTGACGTAAAGACAGGGTTAGTTCTGAACGTTTTTATTAGAATACGTTTACCGCAACTACCTCAATTCCGATGCTGAGGGGGGTTGTGCATGCTGCACCTTCGGAGGCTAAAAGATTGCCAAATTAATTGGAGGGACCACCAAGGAACCAGGTTCCTTTTGACGTTGATGTGCACAGAGCCATTGCGAACGTACCATTTGGTAAGATCCGCCCGTCCAGCTACCGGTGGGCGGTGGGTCGTAGCTAGCTAGCTAGCTAGCTAGCTAGTAGTGGCCAGCAGTTGTCTAATAAGTTTGCAGGTGGGGCTGAAGGAACCCACGGCTCGTTGGTTCTTGCCATTTATGGCGTCTGAGTTCATGTTGCACATCTACTGGTACACTGGCACAATCGAGAAAGTGGCTCAACAGCCCTGTGTGGCGATCATCACTATTATGCTGAAGTTTTGATGATAGGACTCGTAGATGAAGAGGTCAGAGCAGCTCAGAACAGTACAACTTCTTAAGAGCCCTTGCTGTCCCTGATAACAGAGTAAAGTCATGCATCGCAGATAATCGTACCAAGAAGAAATTGTCCATTTATCACTGGCAGCACCAGGAAGAAGATTGGATGACGGTTGGTGGTTGGTGGGATGATGCCCGGATGCTCTATGTGCGGGGCATTTTACAGTCTTGTGACTGGTACTCTACTAGAGTAATAAAAGCAACCACATCAAAGAGGCGATCATGATGGCTCCACCGCGACAAGGTACCAGGACCGTCCGACGGTTTTCGCTCAGGTTTAAAAAAAACTCAAAATTTTGCAGTTGAAACATTCCCTTAAACATTCCCTTAAAACATTCCCTTAAATCCTTAACATTCCCTTAACATTCCCTTAAATCAACATTCCCTTAACAACATTCCCTTAACGCTTCGAAACATTCCTCTAAGCCTTCATGTAAACCCCATAGAACATTCCCTTAAAAAAATGAACATTCCCTTAAAAAAACATTCCCTTAAAACATTCCCTTAAATCCTCAACATTCCCTTAACATTCCCTTAAATCTTCAACATTCCCTTAACATTCCCTTAACCAGAACCACGATTTGAGCAGTTTTTAAACCTGAGCAAAAACCGTCGGACGGTCCAGGCAATCGAACTGAAGGCAGCGAGCTACTAGCTAGTAGTGCACCAACGACTTCCATACCGGTGGCATGACAGTTATTTTTTGTTGCTCAGGCTTTGCACCACGAACCACGACCATTCCGAGATCAGCAAGTCTCCCTGCAGCTTTGAACCGTGGCTTGGCTTTGAACCATGCCTGAGCGGGTGTGGAGTGGAGCCAATCCAGCAGCGCGTAAAGGGTTCTCACTGTAGAACTTCAGTAGATTTCGAACCGCAAAGGGGACTTTGAGACAAATTCTAATTCAAGGTTGCACAGTGACCTGCGAGTTGCAGCCGGTGCTGGGGTCGAGGGTTCTGACAAGTTCTGACTATACGTGTACCGGTAGCACCTTCAGTAACTCAAAAGAGGACTTCGAGACAAATAAATAAATAAATTCTGATGCCGGTACGAGACTGCACAGGCACCAACTTGCAGCTCTTTCGTTCATACCAGGGACGCGAGACGTGAGAAGTGAGAAGCGTTGAGACGCCGAGATGTCGAGATGTCGAGATCGACGTGTGTTGTGGTACTAGTCTAGTATATTGGTACCAGTACACCAGTACCAGTGAAGGGCTTACTCCAGAATGAAGTATGAAGCGATTGCAGATGCAGATCATGTCTTGAGCTCAGTCGTAGTTCTGCCAGAAGGACCTTTACGTTAACAAAAGCAAGATATTCAGAAAGCTTTCAAATAAATCATAAAATATCAAGTATTCGCGGGAGGGATGGTGGTACCGGTATACCGGTATACAGTAAGTAAATTGGGGCGATTGCATGCCTTGCCTGGTATTTTAATTTTGGCATCCGTTATCTGTAAGAACTGCCTTTCCCGTGGCCAGTTACGGCATCTCTGCAATTCTTTGCAACCTTTCTCATCTCCCAGATCTCAAGCAGTCCACCCATGCTTTCAATCAATTTTGGCTTGGCCACCATCAAGGAAAGAAAAACATCCAAACGATCACTTTTTGATTATCCGAGCATCCGAAACAACCCAATCTACCAATAGAATCATGCAGCACATCTCCGCCCTGAACAACACTGCCGTCCGCTTTCTGATTGACGGCTTTCGGGTAGACGAAGCCGAGCGATCCCTTCATCAGGCCATGCAATGGCTGAGCCAAGTGCAACAGAATCCAAAGCAAGCGCCTCCGTCGCCTCAGCCAGCTACCATCAAGCTCCAGTCTTCTCCAGTCAGCGTCAGACGCGGCAGTAGCACGATGCGAAGATCTTCGGCTTCCTCCTTTGCCTGCGCCCCATCAGACTTCGACGACGACGACATGGACATGGAAGATCATGCCAATAGTAGTTTTGAAGATGACGACGAACAAGATGAGGACGACTATGAGGCTCCTGTCCAATCCATTGAGCTCACCAAGGTGGATCCTACCGTGGGATGCATTCACAACATTCTGCCTCTCTACAACAGAGCGCTGGTCTTGTCGTACACTGCTCAATACGAAGAAGTGGCGGCTTGTGTGTTGTTCAATCTCGCCTTGATTTACCACATTCGAGGCATGACTGTGCTGCTGGCATCCCAAAGAAGCGACAACCTCCAAAAGGCATTGAAACTCTACGAATTGGCCGTCAAGATTTTGCAACGGCAGACTCCTGCCACTGTTGGTGCGGAACAACAACAAGAACGCCTCGTTGACGAACTGTTGGTGCTCGCACTCTTTTACAATTTGGGCCATGCCAGTGCGCAACTCTTTTCCAATTCACAAGCAGCTGCCTACTTTGGCTTTCTCCGCCAAGTATTGCGACAGAATACTGCCTGCCACGGCACGGATGCCCTTCAGGATGAAGACCAATCCTTCTTCTTTTTCAATGCCATGCTCTTTCAGGGCGAACAAATGACACTGGCGCCAGCTGCTTAAGCTTTCTACTGTTGCCAATCTATCTTGCCCTCCCTTCTGAATTAATCCGACTTCCATTTCCACTTATACATTATCTTGTTGTGTAATAAATTAATTCTAGCTTCCAGCTATCCTATCGGCACATACGGTCCTCCCTCTCTTAGCTACATGTAGTATTTAGACTACTTGCCAGTTGCCAGAGTTGCCCTCTTCAGCGCCCACTTCTTCCTCTGTCGCTCGTTGAGGACTTCTTCCTCTGTCGTTGAGGACTACCGTACATGCAAAGCCGGCTAACTAGTCAGTCCGATGTCAGTAGACTAGTTCAGGTGCCTGGATCTTGATTGGATCATCTGGACTAGCCACATGTACTAGTAGTACATGTGGCTAGCTAGCTAGTAGACTGGCTAGCTAGCTGGAGTCAGTTTGTCCGGTGTCCCCCACAAAACCTGGTGGAGCCACGACAGAATTACGGAAGCACACTTGATCTTCAAAACATCCAGCCGAAACACGAGTGGCTGTCCAAACTGCACAAGCCCAGATTCGATTCGGCCCCGGAGAAACCTGACATGAGCACAGCACCTTTGTTGGCAGCGCAAAGGAAGGCACCGTACCAATTAACTGAGTGTCTGTACGCCATGTCCATCTTGGTGTAAGTATGCATAGTTTCCTTGACAACGGCCAGCGTCCAAGGGTGTTTTTGATTCATTGGCGCTCCTGGCTGGCTGGCTGGCTGGCTGCAATGGCTGGGACCAAGCTCTGAAACTGGCAGAAGTGCAATATAAGTTAGGCTGTGGCCAACGGACATCCTTCCTGCAGAACCACATTGCAAGTCTCTGTGTGGCTCTTGCTGAATGATCTTTGCCTCCGTGTTCGGGGTCGGATTATTAGTTTCTCCGTGCCTGACCGAGGAGTCTCCAGTAGTCGACTCTGCCCCTTGCTTCTACTGCTCTCAGGCTCCGCCCCAGCTGGTTGCAATACTGAATGCTGCAGATGACGTCGGTTACCTTTTGTCAGGAAGGATTGCTGGACACACACAGGCAAGGTTGGGATGCTGGGCTTTGGAAAACGCACCATCATGCTCTTTCCCAGGCTCTGTGACAGTTATTAGTTACATGTAGTTGCAGTCACCACCCATGATTAAGAAAATGATCGAATTATTCGAACTGAAATCGATTTTTGACGAATTCTCGCCACACCACAACAAAGAACGAAGAAGGGCAAGGTCACAACTCGCAAGAAGCGTTCTCTTGCCTTTGTTGTTGCTCTCTTTGTGTGTACTGTACTTCTATCTATCTAGCTAAACGATAGACGATGTCACGCTCAGCTCTTTGGCATCAAGAGCGCAACATCCAGAAGCGTCAAGCAGAAGCGGAAGAAACCTGGCAGGAAGCTGTGGAAGAGGGAAGAAATAACCGTGCCCGTAATCTCATCACTCTCTGGGGACCGGATGACAGGTACGTACGTAAAGCAAGGCGCAGTTAGTTGTGCTATTTGATGGCGATGATCATGCTGTTGGATAGTTCTGGATCATCGTTGTGTCTGTCCTTGCAATTCTCGAACCAAAATGGATGACTGTCACTCAACCCTCGTTTCCTTTTATGTTTTCTTCTTCGCCTGATTTGAATTATTCAGCTTTCGTTTTGAGCCCTTGCTACTGGACAACATCAAGAAGTCTTCTTACTTTGTCAAAGTATGCCGAGAAATCAAAGACTGGACGGCTTTGGTAGATGAAATTTACTACAAAGTCGACCACATGGAACCATGGGCACCAGGTAAGAAGACACGCAACCATTTCATCGTTGTTGGTCTTTTTTATTCGCCTTGCTGAATTCTCGTGGCACTAACCCCTTGTGATTACCTGCATCACTGTTGCAATATCTCAGGTACGTAATACAAACATCAACATGATGATGATTTTGGCCAGATAGCTAGGCTTTATTTAGTTAGTGCATGTTGGCACATCTGTGATGATGATGAGTGGTATGCCTTTTTGCGAAGAAACAGTAAGGCATGCTGGTCTGTCCTGCCGATTGCTTTTGGTTTCTCTCCACTGGTGTACTGACACTCGCTTCTCTCTATTTTATTTTCCACAGGCGGAGTGAAGACTCCTTCCATGGGATTTAGTCTGCTCCTTCGTCTCTTGACCATGCGGAGCACTACCAATCAAATGGAGCTCATGCTCAAGCATGTGGATTCCGCCTATATTCGTGCCGTGGGATTTCTATACTTGCGATATTCCTGTGAACCGGAGCATCTCTTCAAATGGTTCCAGCCGTACTTGTACGATGAAGAACCCATTCAGGTCGGTGCTGGAAAAAAGAAGGCTGGAAACAACAACAATAAGAGTAACGAAACGATCGGTTCCTTTGTTCGATCTTTGCTCTCGCGTCGTGATTACTACGGGACCATGTTGCCTCGACTCCCCATTCAAATCGAGCGAAACGTTCAAGTCCAGTTGTTGCAGGCGGAAAAGGTTCAGAATAGAGCTACCACTCATGCCCGCAACAAACGAACCATGGACTACTTTCAAAAGCCAGGAGCACGCATCATGGCAACCTACGAAGACGAGGAGAATCCACTCCAGTGGTATGAGGCCGAAGTGGATCGTGTCATTCGACGAACCGATGATGACCAACAAACGTTGAAGCATCCCAAGTTTGTCGTGACGTTTACGCAGTACGGGAACACCGAAACTGTGACACTGGGCGAAATGGATGTCCCCGACGGACCCTTTTATAAGGAGGATACCCGAGCGGGCCGTGGATACGACAATCGTCATGAACGCGGCAAAAACGATTTGTACGAAGAAGTGCGACGCAGGGAGCAAGAACAGGCGACCGGATCGCGAGGCAACTATTTTGCTAGGGTGGAAACGACCAAGAACAGTCTGGCGGCCGGTGGAACTCGAGGAGCCCCTCCTCCACAGGATCGTCGGAGGCGATCTCCTAGTCCTAGTAGGGGGGCTCGCAAACGTTCGCCGCCTCGCGAGGGTCGCAATCGTGAAGACGAAAGGAGCCGAGAAAGGCAGAATTCTCCTCCACGAAAGCGCACTGCAGAAGAAATGGCGGCCATTCAGGAAAAGAAGCGCAAGTTGATGGCCAAGTATGGATAGCCGACTACCATGTAGCTAGTATTCAAAAGTAGGTTAAAAATATCTAACTAGTGCAGCATTCCAGGCAGACCGTGCTGCCCTAGTTGGTCAAGTTCTTCAGTGCCATAGCCATAGACGTTGCCGAAATTATATATATTTTGAAATTATTTGGTGTCGTGGCTTCAACTTCTATTTCGGTTGACTTGGCTTTTGCAAAGTTCTTGTCCACCACCCAATTCTTCCTTGATATGAAACTTGACGTAAGGATCACTCTTGCCCACCATGTCACCTTTGGTCAGCTTGGTAGCCTTTTTGAGAAACACCATTAGGACGCCCATGAAGATGATGAACTTCATGTAGTCTATGTATGATGAATCAAAAGTACCGGTAGGTTAAAAGTATCTAACTAGCGCAGCATACGGACCAGATACGAGTAGACACAAATGGTTGCCCTATTATTTGTTCAAGGTATTCCAGTGCACCGTACGGCGCGGTACGGATATGCCGAAACGCCATAGACGTTGCCTACAATTATAATTATTTTTATCTATTTGGTGCCGCAGCTTAAACTTCTATTCCCGTGCATTTCAACTTCCGCTGCCAGGTTGTGGTCGTTAGACCAAATGGGTAGCCTCGTGGTCCAGTACTTGCAGCATTAGGAAAAAGAGAACATTGAGGCAGCTTCTGGGGGTTCATTTTCAATCTCAGGATTCTTTGTAGGACAGCTTGAGATAAATTCTGGCATCCTTATGAAAGGAGTTGCCATCAATGATTCTGTCCACATCCATGAGCTCATCCGTCAAACCGAGTTGGTCCAGAGGGATGGTGCACTCTCCCAAGTGTTGGTCGGGACCAAGGTCTTCGTCAAGAACTGTAATGTTCAGCAGCATCTTGTCCAAGCTGGGGATATCAAAGGCATAGGTTTCATTCCAATATGGATCCAGATTGTCTTGTTGCGTCGTCGACTTGGCTTTTCCAAAGTTCTTGTCCATGACCCAATTATCTTGCTTGAGATGAAACTTGACGTAAGGATCAGACTTGCCCACCACATCGCGATTGGTCAGCTTGGTAGCCTTTTCGAGAAAAACCATTAGGACACCCATGATGATGATGAACTAGGGATGATGAACACTGCTAACGAATCTAATCAGCAAACAGGCGCTGTTGGGTTGTGCTTTGTGTACATCTGGCTTGTCGCTTGGTCCCTTGCGAGCTTCCGCTGTGGATCTTTTGTTGTGGTGTATCTTTTTGCAGCTGCCTCTTGGGAGCGCACTGACTGCATTATTGAGCTTTTAAGCCATCGGAAGGCTGAGACATACGGTACGTGGCACTGAAGGAATTGGATATTTTTGGCGTTGTGGCAATCTTGAAGAAATCCGTGTCAATGCCTCCAAGACGACCATGCACAGAAGTTGGTCTCTTACGGGATGGGAGTTCAGCGGGACAATATAAGAGTGGGGCGCCTTTTACCAATTGGGAGTGACACTCAGTCGAAGAAATAAAGATCACCGTCCAACAAAGAAAATGTATAGCACTAACTAACCAGAGTTCAGCCGGCCTGTTCCAGCACAGACAACATGGTTATGACCACGCGAAAGATTCCGAGTGTCTGGGAGTTGAGTCGAGTCTGGCTGTTGCACTGGCCCTTCCAGGATAGCGTTCATCACCCTGAATGTCTGGCAGCTGGCAGGTAGCAGCGTGGCTCAGACGAGAAGCAAGCCAAGTGCGTACCTTGCATGCATCCGGGCGCCGTTCGTTTGCTTGCAGCCCACACTGCCACACTGGCCAACGAGATCGCTCCGCTGCAGAAGACTTGTAAGATGTAAGATGTCCAATGTCACTGAGTCTTACTCCCCGAATGTTTGGGGCACTTCTCGTGGTCAACGGCCTTAGTGGACGCACTCCCAGCAAAACCGGCAACTGATATACTCCACAGTTCTTCATAATCTGGAGTATCCCAAGTAGGATGATTGGGCTAGCCAAGAGAGGGAACTTAGCTTTCTGCCTGGCGGGGCAGTCCAATCACACCAGTAGAAAATTCGAAATTTCTCTTCTTGCTTGCTTATGGTGTCTCCCTGGTGCTTCTGGATCATTTTGGTATAAATCCGAGCTGTACAATTGCCTGGCTCCTGATCATTGACCCCAAGCAACGCAAGTTGCGTGTTGCCCTTGTTGCCTTGTTGTCCTTCGCCTTGATGTCGCGAGCAGTGGTGACGTGGTGACCTGGAAGGTCCTGCCTTTGATGAAAATCTGAAATCCAATTCATCAGTATTCATCATTTCCTTCACCAATTCATCACAATTCATCACCAGGCCATTTGTTTCATCATTATTCAACCCAATTCATCACATACTCAGATTTTTCATCACCATTCATCACTATTCATCACCACCTATAGTAAAACAGTAGTACATTTTCATCACTATTCATCACCAGTCATCACAGATTCATCATTTTTCATCATTTTTCATCACCATTCAACATATATATTAAAAATTCATTACCAGTCAACACATACAGTTCATTTTCATCACTATTCATCAAATCGCCAAAAATTCATTAAGGGCGGCACCTTCCTGATGGACCTCAGGATAGGAGTTAAAAGTCATGTTTCTGGATTTAGCTTTCGTGGTGGACCTCAGGAGTTAAAAGCCACGTTTCCAATTTTAGATTTATCTAGAATAATCTCATGTTCAACATACACTAAGTCTTTCTCGTTCAGATTTATTGGAGAGGAGGGCGTGCAGGAATAAGTTTTGATAAGATGCTGTTGTTGGGCTGAACACAAGGCTCTTTGTTTTCGCCATTTGCCAATGTCGATAGCGAAGCAGATCATTGGATCTAATATATGCTAGCAAAGTTCCAGTGGATGGCCAAAGGAATGAATGAATCGTGTACCATCCAAAAGCAGCACCAGCACCGGAGAAGAAGATCCTACCGTACGTCTCTCTCTCGGCCGACCGTGTACAGTCGTACACTCACACATCACGAAAGTTTTTCGTCTTTTCATTGGCTGTTTGCTTCTCCTGTTTTTCATCTTTTCTCGATCTCTCCCCTATCTCACCACAATTTCTTTCTTTCAAGACAACCTACTCGATCGATGTTGGCAATGCTATCTCACGCCGTACAGAGAAACAATGCAGCCGTTCAGCTGCTGCAGAACTGTCGTTACTCAGATGCATCTGTCACCCTTCAGGTTGCCTTGACGGACCTTCAGTTGTCATTTCGAGCGACCTCTCTCGAAGAAGATTCTACTGTGATGTGCATGAAAGAGGGTCTCCTTACAAAGTCGCCCGCCTCAGGAATTCAGTTACCCGTTCAAGCTGCACCCATTCAACTCAAAGGTAACACGACCGGCGATAGTTGCCTCGAACTCTTTGCCCGTGCATTTTGTCTTTCGCCTTTCGAATCAAGAGAAAGAATCGTTTCAAGTGTCCTTCTCTACAATTGCGGCCTGGCATCTCACTGCAGTGGTGTCCTGCGGGGCAACTCCAAGAATCTGATGAATGCAATGAGGCTCTACAAGTATGCTTGTCGCATCCTGCTAGAAGTCGTTGACGACGATGATACGAGCTCTACTGAGTTGCTACGCCTAGCGCTCTTCAACAACATTAGCCATGTTTGCTTTCAGCTGTGTCATTTGGCGGATGCACAACTCTATGTGAAGTGCCTCCGCGACGAGATGGGTCTCTCCGACGATGAGCCGCTAGGTGCCGCATTGCCAACCGTGACGGATGATGACTACGACTTTTTCTGCTTCAATGTCACCATCCGCGTGGAATCCATGGGGGCACCCGCTGCCTAGACGAGGAGGATGAAGCGAGAAGAGTTTTGATGGCTGCCCCGACAGCTACATGCGGCTACATACATGCACCCAGCTGGAAGTCCCAGTTTATATTCCTTTTGCACACTTGCATGATCTTCCCACAGAGTAAATCTTATCCTGAAACATTTTTTCACGAGAGGCTATGGTCCAATTCTGACGTTTATCCAAAAGAAGAGATCCCGCGAAGGGGTCAGAGGGTTGCTTGGTACATGTACAAGATATCTTTATTAAGCCATAATGCAATAGCTAAGCAACTCTCATTCCAGCATTCCTTGTTTCTGGCTGTGGAGACAATCTGGAAGGTGTCAACTACGCACCGTCTAAGAGGAGCGCGCCGCTTTGGACTAGCTAGGCATACAACACCGAACCATCCTCGTGATTCTCGGACATTGTCGCCCCCGGCACGGGGGCCGCCGGAACTACAGGCACTGGGACCGCTTGAACGGGTGTCATGTTCGAACTGGAGCGGTGGTTGTTAGGTTTTGGTTGTCCCAATTCCACATCAGGATGTTCGCTGGGTTGATCCAAAGATTGGCTCGATTGCAATGACCTCGCGGGCTGTCCAGGCATTGCTGGGCTGTCCCCCGTCTCCACGCGTTTGTGGATTGTAGCGTCCAGCTTTCCAGTGATAGCACTGAGCCAGAGACGGTACGGCAGAGCTGGGAATATCAGCAGGTGCGAAATGAGACAGGCTGGATAGTTGAGCATGGATGGCTTCTTGGAAAGATCTACAAATGCCAGCAGCCGTTCCTTGAAGCCTTCAATTCCGTAATTGGTCCTAAAATTGTAATACAGGTCTCGATAGCGGTTGCGCCGGATCAAATCTTCGCTCTTTGCGGCGAGGTTGGCGTCCCCCGTGTATGTTTTGTGCATGCGGACCTTGGTCACTTCAAACTGGATAAGTTTTGGATCCAATGGTACTGACTGATCCTCCCAAGATTGAATGTGAATTGGTTCCGTTTCCACATATGTGACAACCGGATAGGTCTCTGTTCTGGTGCAACTGTTCCCGTTGGAATCTGTGTAGTGGACCACCCTTGTTTCATAGTGGTAGCATTCAATTGTAATAGAAAGGGTGGGAGCTGTGGCATACATTCTCTTCAAATACTGGTGAAGATCTTCATTGGAATGAATGTTCTTGAGGTATTTTCCAGTGGACGAGAACCAGAATTCTCCCAGGAAAAACACGTAGCCAAAGACAAAGATAAACCATCGGAGGAATGTGTAATTCTCGTGGCCAAAAAATTCACTGCATTCGGGGTAGTCGTCGAGACGGTAGGACCGAATACGATCGCAATCATTGCGTCGCCACCGAATCGCCTGAATCCACCAGGCAAGGAGGAAGCAAACGATGCCCAAATACAAAATACTGTGTGTCACGTGTCGGTCTCGAATGCAACCGAGCATGAGGTGACGGAGATCACCTCCCTTTTGCAGTTGTTGCGTTTGCTGTGGGGCGGTGTCGTCTTCGTTTGTCTTATCTTTTGCTTTTGGATCATTGCTTTGAATAAAGGTGTCGGCTTTGATGAAAGTAGTTTCATCAATCACCGACTCTTCCTGACTTGAGTTGGGGGGAGCGTGTTGCGGCGGTGGTGGAGGACTCTCGTCAATTTGAATCACGGTGCCTTGCATCCAAGGAGCCTCGGGTTCCTCGTTGGTCCCTTGGTTCTGGTAGTCGAGGTATTCATCCTCTTCAGTCCTTCGCGGAGCAAGAACTTCAAACACATTGTGTGGGCTGTTGTTGTGATGATTGTAGTCGCCATGATGGTTTTCACCGCGAGGCGACGACGGAGCTGCGCCCCCGCTTGCCGCGCTGATGACGGATGACTCGTTGTACAAAGGGGCTTCTGGTTCCATGTTTGCTCTGAAGCCAGTTTGTGTTGTGGGCTCTTCTGTTTGTAGCTTTTGTTTCTTCTTCTTTCGGCCTCTCTCAGACTGTAGTATCCAAGTCTCGAGCATTTGTGTGTCCGAAACTCGACAACTGACGTGTTGGTGTTGACGTTCACATCATGCGGTCAATTGTCCAGGAAGACAGCTTTGGAATACACGTAGATGAGGTAAACCATTTCTATTTCGTCTCCCGGAGACGACTTGCTTTAGGGGTAAGGGTACTGTTGGGGGCAGAGGTTTGAATTATACCCGGCGTGCAATACTTAGAGGCCTCTGTAGAAGTCTACGTATTCGACTAGTATTGTATTGACGGGATACAGTCAACGCATGTACATGCACATGAAAGTCGCCTCGCTTTTCACACAAGTTTCGCATGAATGAGGGAGCTGTTTCGGGGCGAAGCAAGAAAGGGATGAGCGCGCGGAGCGCGCGAATACTGTTTCAGGTGTTGGTAATAAAAGATTTATGGAAACGGAGACGACCCAGGGGGCGTATGAATTCAAATATCAGAGAAGGTATTGTAGTCTACACTTTGTACATGTACCTGGTACCTGGTACAACATTAGCTCTACTGTTACCAGGTACCAGGTACCGCCTCTACTAGCTGTTTGAAACGCTTTTCGACGGTACGTGTAAGCTCATAAGGCTGCCAGCATAACGCCAATGTCGCTGCAAAGCTCTTCTCTAACAAATGATCGCAATCTTAAAATCATGATGATCCTTCACAAGAGCAACAGCGTACCGGTAGCATCGATAACTCTACAGCCAAGGCCAACGAGAAAAAAGAAATTGACTACCACAGCTTCTTTTACCACGAAATGGTTCCAGCCCCAGGTTGCCATGAAGATGAAAGCCGCGGCGGGCCCTGACTACAGTGCGTTCCTTGAGCTTACACGAGCATCAAAAGTCATTGCTAAATCAGCTTAAAGTAACCCTAGATCTCGGACTGCAGCGCAGGGAAGATGCGGTACAGTACCGTACTCAAAAAGTCTGTCGACAGCCGCTCGAATAGAAGAGGATCCAAAATCTACAGGAATAAAAAGCAAGCTACTCATCAGTGGTACAGAACCCGTGCAGGCACGTTTGAGACTAGGTGCACGTCCCGTCCCACCTGTTGCCACAGCTTGCCACTGACAAGAGATCACAAACTGGATTTACTCCAGCAAAAAAAGATATACAGCTGCAAGTTGAAAGCAGAGAAAGTGAAGATTCATACATGAAGTGGGCACCCATCCAAGAGGCAAGGGCCCAGCTCGCCGAGTACGGCGACGATCACGACGATCCACCCTGGGGATCGGCAGAAGACGTTGTTCCGTATGAACCGATGCCACTGGCGTCCGAACTTGATCTTTCCGCCTTTGAAACTGCCAAGAGAGCAGAACGGCCGAAAAAGCGACGAAAGGACAAGTCAAACAGACCCAAGGCGAGAGCGAAGAGTAGCTTTTGGCCAACACGCGAGAGAACCCTGATGAACGTGATATATGCACCTCAACCCCGTCTGTATCGTTCCAAGTCCTATGCGAGCTTTCTCGATGGTGCTTCAAATGCAGCGAGAGCAATGAAGCGAAGCACATTTTCAGACGATAGCAGTGTGGGAATTTCCCGTGATGATGGCAAAAGTCTGACCGCGAGGGGAAACGATCTGGCTTTGGCTTGCATGATGGATTTCCTGCCGTCTCGAGTTATCCTTTCGGGTATCGGCCCAACCATTCGAGCGTCGATGCTCCTTGAGTCTACCGAGAGTCAAATGGCGGTGCTTGTTCTTTGGAAGTGTGATGACACGCACGCAGTGAGGGTAGTGCCCTTCCTCACGGACGAGGGCCGCGACAGGGCTGTGGTCACGGATACCGTCGCGGCCTTCGAGCGTCTCTTGAACAACAGAGTGAAAGAGGCAATTCCGCATTTCACCCAGGTGTCTCAGCACCCATACGTTCGCTTCCTGTACACGTCGAACTTCCTCGGGGCTCAACTGCACGATCTGACTATGGCGCTCGAACAGTGTCTTGCAAACGCTCGGGGCTCAGGCACAGGCCTCGACGTGGGACCACGAAGCGCCGGAATCAAGATGTGGGCGACGACTACACGGGCACTGAAAACTCTGAACACCGAGCCGAGAAGCACTCTGACATACTTTGACGTGTTTAAGATGTGGCACGAGGGCATGCTGGCATCAGGCCGCGGCCGAACCCCAAATGTTGAAGAGGAGAAAACCCAATCCAAAGCTGATAACCCCAATTGCTGCCTCGTCTGCTTTGATGAAATCCTTCCGACGGAGAAATGCAATCCACTTGTGAGGCTCAGAAGTTGCCAGCATGTTACTTGTCGAGACTGTTGGATTCGATACTTTGCATCTGCGTGCCGATCTGGAGAAGCCAGTGTCAAATGCCCAGCCTTCAAGTGCAACAATCGCATCGTTGTATTAGATGCTGCACATGTCATGTTCGGTGATCAGGCCGGGCCTATCGATGGACGACTTGCTCCCTGTTCCCAAATGGAAGAGGAGGTTTTGCTTCTAAAAAAACTTGTGAAGATTAGCTTGAATCGTTTCATTTTGCTCGACCGGAAAGGAAGGCATTGTCCATCTCCCGACTGCCAACGATTCTTTACCCGCACCCCTTCTCCCAAAGGGACGTCCAAGGCATCGACTTGTCAAACCATCTGGCTTTGTTCTTGTGGACTGAGTCTGTGCGGCGATTGCCCAATCTCTGGAAATTGCCGTGCAACTTCCCACCCAGGAATTAGTTGTGAGTCGTTTGCCAAGGTGCAAAAGGAACTTGATCGGGCACGCTTCGGTGCGATTCTAGAAACGTAAGTTTTCGATGAAAGTGTGGTTGGATGAAGCAATCGCGTTGTCCTCTGACGCAGCGTTGTCGGATATGCCTGCCAGCCTTAAGTGGGTTCTCCAGTTCACGAGGGCTTGCCCCAAGTGTAGCTTTCCAATCCACCGAACCGGCGGCTGCAACCACGTCCGTTGCGGCCGGTGTCAGAAATACTTTTGCTGGTGAGTGACAGTCCGGGGGAGTCGCAACAAGTGCCTGTAGCATCCTGATCGTTCTGCTCACTCAATCCTCCTCATGCATCTTCTCGCCACAGGGAGTGTGGCGGGCCGGGAGAACGGTGCAACGCGTACAGGTGCGGGCATCCGTCGCGTTATTGGGTTGATGCCAATCCCATGTATAGGGAGGATCACCACAATATGAAGGACTTGGTGGCTGCGGTCGGGCATTGCCGATCTTATCGGTTGGCAGAAGGCCGCATGACACAGATACGGCAATATGGTGCCAACAAGAGTTTGGCAATGCTGGAACTTGAGTGCCTGCAGGCTCAACTTTGGCTCCATAGCGCATCCATAGCCTCGCTTCTAGATTCGGAGACACGAAGTGGACCATTGGATCCCATTGACACAAACAGATCGGGCGATGCCACCCAAGGAAACAACGCGGTCGGCAAGGCCAAGAAGCGCAAAGAGGTCCTTGGTGCGCTGGAGGCCCGCGTAAGGGTTGCGCTCCTTGCTCTACAGCATCGGCGGTGCTCTCAAAAGAGATCTGGTCTTAATGCTTCATTCCTATTTGCGGACGCCAGAACCAAAATCAGCACCACTAAGATCCTCAGCAAAAGAAAGACACAGAGCGTTGCCGCCATCGCAGCAAAGAGGAACAATGCAGGCACCTCGACGATTGCCTGCCTAAACGATGAGTTCAGGAAGCACTCAGAGCAACAAGATCTCGAACTCCTGAGTCAAATGTCAGAGGAGGCTCTCCTGAAAAATCTTCAAACGATGCTCAAGAGAGGGATTCATGGTTTGGTTGATGCATCTCACCTGGCTGCATAGAGAGGCCATTCAACTTTGTGTGAAGATGGTTTCATTTGTGGTTGCCAGTAGCAACCACCACAACCAAACCCCTCAGATATTTCTCAGCTGGCCCTTCCATCTAGACCCATGTCTCAACAAACCATACCATTCTCTTCCACATGCATGTCTGTGTCAAGAAGGTCTGTTTGCTTCTTTACTGGTGGCTGGATTAGCTAGCTGGTCTGTATGCAGAAGCAACCAACCAAGCAGATGACAATGGGCTGTTACTAGGGACTGTTATTGAGCTCCAAGCTGTGTGTCGATCTGTCTTCCATGTGTTGTGTACGACGTTGCACTCGGGCATCAGTGGTCATGTCATTGAGATCTCCACGAATCATAATAGCAACACGCTTCATATCAGGTCTGGCTTTGGGGTCCTTATCCCAAGCTTCAGGAAGAACCAATCGAGCGAGGGGCGGCCACTTTTTGTCAATGGTTGGCCTGTGGTTGTTGATTACCACTTTGTCTATAAACTGATCTGGAGAGCAACCTTTGAACGCATGTTGCAGAGAAAGGAGTTCCCTTGGCAAGAAAGTAGAAAGACTGCTGAGTTGCGTTGATTGATTGATGACAAACAATAATGATAGAGAGTATGCACATGTGCCTACCATAAAAGAATGCTAAAACTGTACACGTCGCATTTTGTGTCGTAGGGTTTGCATTGCGCCACCTCGGGAGACTGCGAGATGGCCAACAGGGAGATGTCGTTTAGCTTGAGTTTGGCAATGAAACTTGCGGTCGTAGAAAACATAATCTATGAACGAACCACTGCAAAAGGGTACAAAACAACGCGATTAGGTCATGCCATGAAAGACTCTTCACACCCCGCTGATGGTCCATAGACTAACTTACTGTATGGCAATGAACCCGCCCGCCCTGTCAATTTGTAGCCGTAGGCCCCGTCCTTGCACTTGAGACGAGGCTCCAAGTCCTTGCACAAACCAAAATCAAACACCTTCACATCGCCTAGATTTTTCAGTGGGACATCAAGTTTAGGGAAAAGTTATACGCAATCAACTAAATGAAGGAACACATTCTCGGATCCGCTACTCACCTCGAACATCAAAGCCAATATTCTGGGGTGGTGAGAGGAAGCAAGCAGCGAAGAAGAAAAACATAGGTTGAGAGCGTTCATCGAGACAGAAGCAAAACGAGAGAGGCGTCAGAATCTAGGTGGGAAAATTAGAGCGTACCTCGGGTTTGATATCTCTAACGTGGATTGAAATGCAAAAGACCACAATTGGGCATCATTTAGTCGTCACGACCAAGATGATGAATTGGGTTCAACTTGAGTGCACCACTTTGGTTTTTGAATTACCTGTACACCAATCGATTCTCGTGCAGATACATGAATGCCACAGCCAAATCATACGCCACAATCATTCGCTCTTTGAGCACCTGCATGAATACCTCATGATTTTTGCCAAATCCGCAACAACAGCCACTGTTTTTGGAAAGGAGTTTCTTCCAAGCATTTATTCTCTGATCCAACGTCCCAAATAATCTATCCATGACAATGAAGAAATCTTGATTCAGATAGCTTCCAGCAGCCACTCCTCGCATCTTGACGATATTCGGATGCCAGACGACGCTCAGGTACTTGGCCTCCACTGCTAGGTCGATCATTCCTCTGGCCTTCTCGACTTCAGATAGATTGTCGTGTAATCGTTTGAGGGCATATCTGGTGACTCCTCTTCGCAAGCATCGATTGGCCATGAGCTCTCGAGCACCACTGACTTCATAATGAGCGTCATCTTCGTATAAATCTCCACCAGGGGTGTTGGAGATTGCAACTTTTTTCGAATCACCTTCTCCCTTTTTGCTTTCTTCTTCCTTTTCAGGTTCTTTTTCCAAATCAAAGGCCGTAACTTCATTGACAACTCCAAATCCACCGGCACCCAGCGTTCGGCCAAGTTCAATTTCTGTATGACTGAACATGGGCATGGGACGAGGACGGTGGCCCCGTTCCTTGATAATGTAGGAATCATCGACCGCAGCCAAGATCTTGTCGGCTCGGTTCAACAAGTCCTGAGCTCGTTGTCGATCATTCGTCATTGTGGCTAATATTTCAGGTTTCTAATAAAGTTGAAGATTGTCAACATACACAGCTGAGAAGGCGATTCGATGCGAATTTGGATTGGTATCTCTTGCCGGGACAATAATGAGAGCAACCAACTGATACTGTAACCAGGACGAGCTCCAAAATCGACAAGGCTTGGGGATACGATCAATGGCGACTGTATGTATGTGCACACCGAACTGGTACAGGAAGGGAAACGATGGACAACTCCTTGCTGTTTGGTTACGAGATGTGAGGAAACTCGTCTTGGCTTGGTGCTTTGCCGCTGTTCGCTGATTGATGGTATTGGGGACACTCAATTTCTCCTAGACAGGATATCACCGTCCCCTTGGCATCATAGAGTCCAATGCTAGCTTCCTAGCGACAATAAAACAAGGGGGAGACTGAATGCTTGTTCTTTTCCTATTAGTCTACCCAAGGGATGGATGCGGTGTTGTGCTGCTCTGTGCATGGCTGGCTGTCTAATCCAAAAGTTCGAGAAGCCAGGAGATGGAAAAGGGGGTCTGAAAGGGGGGACCGAAAATTCAATTTTTGGGGGGCACAATCCGAACTGTTGAACCGCCTCGTCAACCAGCCGCACGCAAAAGAGGACTCCACGATCCCTATCCCTTTGCAACCCTTCGGCGTGGAAATTCTAACCATCATGGGCATCATGGGTTCTTCCATGAATCTTCAAACGATGCTGAAGAGAGGGATCATTCATCGTTTGGTTGATGCATCTCACCTGGCTGCAAGAGAGGCCATTCAACGTTGTGTGAAGATGGTTTAATTTTGTGGTTGCCAGTAGCAACCACCACAACCAGACCCATCAGATATTTCTTAGTTAGCCCTTCTATCTAGACTAGATCCATGTCTCAACAACCCTTTCTCTTCCACCATGCACTCTGTGTCAAGAAGGTCTATCTGTTTGCTTCTTTCCTGGTGGCTACTTTTCCTCGGCGATGAGCTGATGCCCAAGCTCGTCTGGTTTGTGATACTTAGTTTTATTTCTATATATATTCTGTTTGATTAAAAGGGGCCGGTGAGCAGGCTTGACTGTGGGAAGCCCCCGAGCCTCGGATCGCGGGTCCTTCTTGTCTGAATCCATTAGTAGACATTCAGTTTTGTTTGTTTTTTGTTTTTCTGTTTGTTTTTTCTTACGGGGTCTGTCAGCAACATGCCTACGCATTTGCTTTCTTTTATCTCTTTTTCAACCTAGACCTGCAACTGACAACTGAGCCAATATTGGTTGCTTACTGTATCACAGTACAATCCTTGGCAACAGTCAGAATCACTATTGCATCCTCCCGTCCAGCGCGGGATACAGGAACTGGTGAGGTCGCCAGTGGGAAGCCAGACACGCTCACCGCAGCTTGCACATTCACCAACAGAATCACAACCACCCCCGCATGTTTTGAAGTCGATACTGCAGCAAGCATCGCTGCTTGCAGGGGTTGGACTGACAGGAGGGTTGGTCGGATTTGGAGTCTGAGGTGCAGGTGTAGGCTTTTTAGTGGGTTGATTGGTAGGCGCAGGGTTAACAGGTGGGTTGGTAGGATTTGGAGTGGGTGGATTGGTAGGAGCAGCCGGGGTAGCAGGTGGGCTGGGGACAGGGTTGCTGTTTACCAATGGGTCTGCACAAAGGGCAGGGACGTCGGGCCATGGATAAGTGTTTCCATTCTCTTCCCAGCATGGCAACTGTGCCAGCTCCAAGGGACAATCAACTTCTTCATACTGCACACTTGGATTGTTCCACTGCAGGGATTTAAAGTTTTCACAACCATCCCTCAGAACAGCATTGTTGAAGGTGTTGCAGTCACATCCCTCATTTGGATCTTGGCTGTCAATCATCCACCCGCCACAGGCAGCGAAACCAGCTTTCTCATCAGGTTCTCGGTCCTCACAAGTATTGCTGATGCTGTTACCAGCAAAGTCAAATCCAGGGGCAGCCAAGTCAAAGTGAATTGCGCCATTGCTGCATGCTGGATTGGCTGGAGGACAAAAATTGGTTGCCTTTACCACGACAGTGGTAATAGTGGATGTATCGTGGCCTGGAATGTTTGATTGGCCTTCCAATTTGTAGCATTTTCCACATCCTTCTGGTAGCCACCAACTGCCACCAAGAGCTTCAGAGACAGCAGCTGCACCATAGAAAGTAGCTCCATGCGTGTTCCCAGCTGGGGCAGCAAACATGCCATTAGAGTAGCAATGGGATGGCTGGTTATGGTCATTGTTAACGTGAGAGGGGATGTAGGCGCAACCACAAGCCCCGCCACTGCAATCCCAGTACCTGGTGGTGGAGGCTGTACCAGCATTACAAACTGATGCAGGCAAAACAATAGCCGCAAGTAAGATACGAGAGAATTTCATTTTGGAACGGAGAATGTTGAGTTGTTTGAAGGAAGCGATTTTTAGGAAAGAAGAAATCGAGATTGTGAGACTTTGCAGCAGCAATGCAAACATGTCGTTGCCGTGTTGCCGTGTTGCCGTGTTGCCGTCTTCAGCGACATCCGAACATCAAATCGCAAGGTACTACTTCCTTTTCTCTTTCGTAGGATGACCCATCAGCAAAAGCTTGGAGGTGTGCAGCAGTGTTGATACGGTACCAATCATCTCGCGAGCGATCGAAGTACATGTATGTACATGTACTCGGAGTAGTTTTGCTGCCCATGTTACGATAAATCTAAAAAGTGCTTGCTGGATCATCCAACCTCGTTAATGTGTTGCCACAAGTTACGGGAGTACTCGTCGAACAAGCCCGTTCGTAGATCTGTATATCTCTGGCAACTGGACGCCTTGGACCTGTCCGCTTCACGCAAGAGTCGTTGCATGACTGACCGCAAACTCCTTGGAACCGAGCAACGTGGAACCATGCTCCAATTATTTTGGAGGAGTTGTGTAGCTTCTAGTAGTGATTCTACACAAAGTTGAAGTTGTGAGCTTGGCACGACTGTTTTTACTATAGCCAATTCAGTACTCATCCAAGGCTTCCCAAATTTAGCTGGAAACGCTGGAACGAAGCATGATTTACCACGGTTCATGGCCAGGGCTTGTTGCCGTCGCGATTGCCACAACAACAACAACAACAACAACAACAACTACGTACTACTACTACTACGAACTGCTGCTACTAGTCTAATCGGTGTGGTCGCTCAAACGCCGCGAGGGCTTGGTGAAATGGTGAAGGCTTGTCGCTCGCCACAAGAGCTAGTCGCTCGCCGCGAGGGCTTGTCGCTCGCCACGAAGGCTTGTCTTTGCTACATGTACTAATGCGTCTTGTCGCTCGCCGCGAGGGCTTGTATCTTCTGTCGCTCGCCGCGAGGGCTTGTATCTTCTGTCGCTCGTTGGGTTTTGAGTGTTGAGTGCTCTCGCTCGCCGCTCCCATTGTCGCGTTGGTTGGTTGGTTGGTTGGTTGGTTGGTTGGTTGGTGGTTGATTCTCTCGGTGCATCAAATAGCGTGTTTTCTTTTTGTTTTCTTTTTGGTTGGTTTTGCGGAAGTTGTTTTGAAGCTTGTCTGAAGCTTGTGGCAAGTGATGTGTAAACGCTCACATTTTAGTTACTTAGAAGCTGCCGTTTAGTTTCCTTAACGGCCGTTAAGTTACTTAGGGTGAAATTGTCACATGGTTCCAGAAGATACGCCCTTCCACCTCATGTGGTTCACTGCCTGGGAGCTCGCCCGGCCGGCTTCGACCTAAATGTCAATCCTAACGGATTTCCATTTAGGTCTCATCCGGCCGGGCTCGCTCCCGTTCCAGTTCACCACTGCGTGGTGGAAGGGCGTTCCTCTACAGAAAGCGGTTACGGCAGTGCCAGGAAGACACGGTCATTCAGCAATTTCAGCAATTTCTGTATTGTATGATGCATTTTGCGGATTGATGACTGATGATGCTGAATACATTTTTCTATTTTACTAGTGTTTTCTGAATTGATTAATTTACTCAATTTTGCTGAATCGAATCTGAGTCTTCAATCGTGCTGAAATGAAACTTGCTGCGGATCTCGCTGGTGGAGTTCGGACCTTCAGTGGACTTCCGGATTTTGGGTTGGATCCCCGAAGAACGTCAAGGTGCTCGGCTCAGCCTTGCCAAGAACTGTCGTCCTGAATGTTACTGCTTTCTCAAAACCAGTCTTTTACATGTACCTGGAGGCTGGAGGTGCAGAGCATTTGGAGGAAAGTGGAGCTACGTGGCTTTGCGCATCTCTTGAAGCTTTGGTTGGCACATTGCCATGTTCTACATTCTACAGCTGGGCTCCATTGCATCGTGCACATGATTGGTCCATGATTGGTCGGCCTCTTGCCAGATTGTTGAGAGCAAGGCACTCATCTTGCCTCGGTTCGATGCTGGTCTTGTTGCCGGCTAGACCAGAGACAAGGCAACCACTGAAGACTCGACTCCATGTGCTTTCTGAGCTACTATGTTGGATTGGTACCTGTATGTGATACGACTGTATGGAGCTACAGTCGTACATCCCTGATTTTTTCCGCCTCGCGGCTGTGGGAGCGTGGTAGCACCATGAGCTGGATGAAGCCATAACATGAATCTTTGGAGAGACCTCTGCGTCAGCCATCGCCCCCCAAAGTCAGAGCTACCTGATACCGTACGGTACCTAGCGGTGGGGGAAACATCCATGCAGCAAACTCAGCCTGGGCTGGATTGCTTGCTTCGATTCCACATCATGCCGCTTGATTGAATCATTCATGATTCGACCCGAAAGAGGAAGATTGAATGGTCATTGGCTTCGTATCCGGCACAAACGAGGCATCTGTGTGATGTGTGCTCTCGGTTGGATTGATGCTCTGACCTACTGGCTATGGTGGTGAGGCCTCTGCATCCCCTGATGCTTCTATACCTGGAGTGTTCCTCAATCGTGCATGACTTATATCGAAAACCGACCCTAATTTTGGGTCGGATTTAGGGACGGATTCCCCTTTAGGGTCGGGTTTCGAAACCGACCCTAAAATTAGGGACGGATTCTGAAAAAACGTCCCTAATTAAGGGACGGGTTTCGATTTAGGGGCGGGTTTGAAAACCGTCCCTAAATGGAAGCGGGACTGAGTGGTAAATACATTGAAATCCGACCCTAAAATAGGGTCGGGTTTCGAAACCGACCCTAAAATTAGGGACGGATTCTGAAAAAACGTCCCTAATTTAGGGACGGGTTTCGATTTAGGGGCTGGTTTCAAAACCGACCCTATTGCTACATGGAATTAGGGTCGGGTTTCAAAGATTTAGGGTCGGATTTGGGTCGGATTTAAAACTCACCCACGATTGAGGGACGCTCCTGGAGCTTCTTTCTGGAAACAAAGTTAGCACTCCGCGCTAACCACAGAAACCTGGACAAGCCAGCTGGATGGCACTCTGGACCTCTGTGGAATGGTCATTCGTGGCAAAATACTTATGAGACGATACACCGAGGCATAGGAGATGATCGAAATGATTTAAAAGACGAAAGCAATCGTCTCCCATATTTAGGAGACGATTCATTAGGAGACATTCCATTTAGGAGACGATCGTTTCGAAATAGGAGACGATCCGAAAGATTTAAGAGACGATACCATACAGTTTACATAGTACACTTAGGAGACGATCCGTTGAGAATAGGAGACGATGGTTGAAAATAGGAGACGATTTAAGAGGAGACGAAAGATTTAAGAGACGATCCGTTTCGTCTCCTATTTTTTGGAGACGAAATCCATTAAATAGGAGACGATCAAAAGGATTTAGGAGACGATCGTTAGCACGACTCGAGTTTCCACAGAGGTCCTGTTATTGGTGGCTATTCCCATATTCCCATCTGGCTTACAATATTGAAAGTTTGAAATATTATAGCACACTGTAGCCACTCGAGCAGTACTTCTACGTACTAGCTAGTATGTCATAGAAGCTACCAGGACCGTCCGACGCTTTTCACTCAGGATTTAAAAATCTTCAAATTGCCACGACTGACAACATCTTTTGAACAACCCCTTAAACAACCCCTTAAACAACCCCTTAAAGCTTAAACATCCCCTTAAACAACCCCTTTAATAAACAACCCCTTAACAACATCCCCTTATATCCTCTAAACAACCCCTTAAGCCTTCATTGAAACACCATACAACAACCCCTTATCACGAATGCACATCCCCTTAAATAAACAACCCCTTAACAACAACCCCTTAAATATTCAACATCTCCTTAATCAACCCCTTAAAGCTTCAACATCCCCTTAAACAACCCCTTATGAGAACCAGGATTATGCGTCAGTCGTGCCCGTTTTTAAAGCCTGAGTGAAAACCGTCGGACGGTCCAGATTTCTACCAGCGCATGTACTAGTACTCTAGCTATATAGTAGAGGATGGAACCGCAAACGCTAGGGTCAAGCGTAGCGTTTAAACGCTAACAGGTCCCCTTAGCGTTTGTTATTATGCGTTTTTTAGCGTTTTTTATTACTATGAGCTCAGAGTTTTTGTTAGCGTTTTATTAGCGTTTTTGTTAGCGTTTCTGTTAGCGTTTTTTACAGTATTGGTGCACTACAATAGAGTGCAATCAGACTATTAAGAATGGTGTGATTCTTTAGAAATGGATATTCATCTATATGTATAAGGAGTTAGTTCATGTTTGGTCACTGCAGCACATCCTTCCAGATAACCCAAAGTAGCATATCTGTACCTCATTTTGTCATCCAAACATGTCATTTTCAGGCCCGATGGTTGCTATAGAACCATACCAACATGCACCGGCACCCCCTAGAGACTT